GTTCGTGCATTTGTTCCATGGATAGATCTCTAGGTCTGCCAACTTCTTAAATCTACAGAATCGAACTTCGTAAGCATCTGCTTGCAGACCAACAACATCACAGAGTAGATGGAACGATATATGGGTTGTTGTGGAAGTTGTTCCTTGCCTATTTGCAGCGGTGTTCTCCGTTGGTAGAATCAGATGTCCACGTTGTTAAGAAGCGGTTTTCCCTTTTCCTGAAACTTATCGCCGTGTATGCATGATTAGTAGGTGAAGGTGAAGAGAGTTTACGAACTCAAGTCATAAAGTAATGGAATCGACGCGATGATTCTAGGACTATCCCATTTGGCCCAAGTAAAAGGAACAAAACGATAATATCCAGAGTCGTGCAAACCCACTAGTAAGCACTTGGCAACGGCCCGCCGACTTATCTAGTCATTGCTGGTATCTTCCGAGAGTCTTTTAACAGTTTACGATCATCGGCGGCAGATTTTTTTTAGTTTTTTTTTTCAATGCGACCGTTGTTCACATCTACTGTCCGGATCCAAGCAGTTCTAACATTCGATCCTTTTCTCACATCCATCACACACTAGGATTTTCCAACTTCTACGTGTGGCTTGGGCTGCTGCTTGATGCTCTTTCTAGCCAGCTCTTTATATTTCGCCAAAAATTAAATTTTTTTCACCAGTTTTGAGCATCGCAATTTTGGACATTAAAAATGAATTTCCGTCAAATTCCCTTTATGAGTTCAAACTCGGTCGTAGTGCAGCAGAAGCAGGTCGAAATAGCAATGAAGCCTGAGGTGAAGGTAGTGTTTGTGTGCGAACAAGATTACGAAAATTCTGATCTGGTGATTTTGACCTCGAAGATAAGGAAGACGGCGGACGTCCCAGTGAACTTGACGACGACAAATTGAAGGCACTAGTGGAAGGAAACACGCGAACAACTGTTCGAGAGCTTGCAGAAGAACTTGGCACAAGAACGATTTCCACTCACTTAAATCGCATAGGAAAGACAAAAAAAACTCAACAAGTGTGTGCAGCAAGAATTAAGCCGTAATCAAAAAAAAATCACCGTTTTAAAATGTCGTCTGCTATTATTCTGCGCAACAAAAACGACCCTTTTCATGATCGAATAGTGGCGTGCAACGAGAGGTGGATTCCGGACGACAACCGGCGACGTTCAGATCAATGGTTGGATTACGATTAGGCTCCACGGCACTTCACAAAGCCAAAATTGTACCAAAAAGGTTATGGTGACTGCTCGGTGGTCTGCAGCCGGGCTTATACATCAGATCTTTTTGAATCCGGATGAAACGATTACGGCAGAGAAGTATTGCAGGCAAATCGACGAAGTGCACCGTAAACACCAAAAACAACGACCGACATTAGTCAACAGGAAAGAACCAATCCTCCAATCCTTCTTCACGGCAGAGCCCCGCTTTTCGTTGAGGAACCATCGCTACAAAGGTTCAACGAGTTGGGCTACGACTCTGTGCCTCATCCGCCGTGTTCATCAGACCATTCGCCTCTCACTTTTTAAATCATCTTGACAACTTCGTGCGCGAGAAATGCTTCACCAACCACGATGAAGCAAAAAGTGCTTTCAATGAATTCATCGTATCCAGAACTCCAGAATTTTATGAAAAATGTGTAAATTTAAACGTTTTACTTTGTTCAAAAACGTTTTGTTTGAACCAAGTTATGGCATTTGAAATAGTATGGTTAAAACGCTCATTTAATTGTAAATAACCCAAATATAAGCAGTAAATAAAAAGTTAACTTGAAAAATACTTTCAAATCCTAGAAATTTTCTTTGACCGTTCTTTTAACTTTAAAATGTGTTGCTTGTAGTTTGTGCTGTGCTGAATAGGACGCGTGTGGCGCAGTGGTTGGATGCGCCACGGCGACACACACGTGGAATCGATTACCGGGCCCATGGCCCACGAAGCCCTCCATCCCACCGGGATTGGCGAATTGGTGCCAGTTTTGTCTGGGAGGATAGCAGCACTGGTTCGATACATAGGCAGACCACTGAGAGATATTGTAAAGGCCAGATATGCATTCAATGACTTCCAACGATACTTAATGAAGTCGAATGCATGGCTCATCGCTCAGGGATTGATCAATGTCGAAAGCTTTAGAGCTTCTACAGGGCCGAATAACAAATGCAAATGTAATGAACAGTGTACTGAATAACGCACTTTATTTCAACATATACTGAAACGAAGTTTTCTCTCCGCCTCTTCAATGAGAGAAATCACAACTCAAAACTGGTAATTGTACGCTGCACGTGTAGTTTTCGTATGCAACGGTGTTCATCTTGCGTGGTTGAGGTTGTAAAACAGCCTCAAACATCCACAATAGACGTCTTCCACTATTTCGCAAAACTCTAGCACGGTGCCACACTGCAGCACAGCGCGTACGGCGCACTGCGACGAAATCGTCAGTGAAGGCAGGTGGACGGAGACTAGAGTGACCTGGAAGGGTTCGCAAGAGAAGCGTGCAGAAAATTCGCCGTCCAAGACTCGGTAAATACTACAAACCATAAGAGGTCTCTAAGACNTAGCTGGAAAAGCGTAATCTGGAAGAACGTTTAAAGTATTTCATATTGGGAGTCACAGACGAGATTGCAACGAAGTGGCCTGCTGTGGTCATCATGAACACCAATACCACTGACCCTTCACATGAAAACCCTCTGGGCGAAATTATCATCCCATGGCCGTCTTCGGTTAATGAGGAAAACATGGATGCTCGGGAGAAAGCTCACTACATTGCGGCTCAAGAATTTCCCTACAATTTCGAACCACGCGTATAAAACGGTGTTTCCTGCAATGGGATGAGGAATAACATTTGGTCATAAAGTGTATTTACAACAATCCTAAGAAAGTCGAGAAATTGAAATCCACCAAGAACACAGTCTGACAGAAGCTGGAACTGTTGTTTCACCACTGATTTGCACGTGCCAGCAGAAGAATACTTATGTTTCAGCAGTGCGTGCTGGAGCTACAAAGAGAAAGGACGTATTTGAGACGTAACGTAGCAAAGCGATAGACCAGCTTTCCATTAACCTCGCTATTGACTAATAATTGACAAATTCTTGGTAAGCAAACACGACGTTGTCATTACAATGTTTACCCGCAATAGTTGACATTTCGGTGATTTCGCCTTCCTCAGAGCCGTGATGTTGTGGGTAGAACCCTGCATAGTCGCATTCCGCAGCCTCTTTCCGCGGGCTTATGTGCTATCCAGCACACCAACCGAGGCTCTTGCTCTACCTTTCGCTTAGCCATTTTTTTTATTTCCGTTGGAGGGAGATTGATTATAGCACCGGCAAAGGATGATTGCTGATAGCGCCGCTGATGAAGTAAAAAACTGATTGACAGAAAGCCAAATCTTCATCCTCATTCGAAATGTGCTCCATTGATTAATATCTGAATCGAAACAAAGGCGAAGACATCACATCGAGAAGACGAGCAACTGTGGACCATCGACCCGAATTATCGGCTTTCATGAAAACGAAGACGTCGGAAAGTTAGCAGAGTAGAAGTTACACGACAATCTCTCGTAAGCTTATCGAAAAAAGAATACATGTTGATTAGTCATACCGAGGTTAAAGAACGTTGCTTCTGAACTAACTTTGCAAATGCGCCTTCTCTGACGACGCGTGTATAGCTTGGTGGCTACAGGTGCTCTGCAACACTCGCAGAGATCTTGGTTCAATCCGGCGCTCCGAGCCAACCAAATTTCTCACCACTTCGCGATTTGGAAACTGGTACACACTTGTTTGGTACGATGCAACGATAACATCAGTGGGCCTCCACCCGTCATTGTAAAGATCAGGTATGTATTCGGTCATCTCTGCGACAAGTTTTCGAGACGAATGCATGGCTTATACCCAAGCGATCGATCAAGGCCTGGCGTTTGGCCCTTTCATTTACGAAGTCTCTATGAAGCAGTAGAAACAGGAAGATTACTTCCTGAATCAGGAACGGATACTACTTGGTGCTTCTTTTCTGCGGAAGGTTTTGCTTTACCTTTCATATTGTCTCAGTTATACGAATTTCTTAACACAACACCTTTATTGAGCCGACATTTCATTCTTCTGAATTCACACACATCCAACGGACGATTTTAGCTCACCGTAGAATCATTGTAGGATGAATATGGTGTCCCTTGCAAATGAGCGTATCTATTTTACAGCTAAGGCACCACACGGAAACTGGAAAGGCTTTGACGCTCAGCTATGATTAAAATCAAGAAAAAAAAAGTATAAAAAACGCTTGAGACTTGTAGAATCCAGAAGAATCAGCTTCGGCTTAGAATGCATCTAAAACTATGCAATAATGAGGGTCGGTAGCGTTTTCTCTTGGTAGAAAAAAATTCAGTAGTTTTTCATTGCACAGTTCTGGATGTAATCTTGTGGAACATCAATGTGGTCGGCTTTTCCGTGGCTCGATCGGAATGCTTTTCTTACTAACGGTGGAACCGTTCTTTGCTGCTTTAATGGTCAGTTTACCCTGATCGTTTAACTCCGTCTGTATTGCATCTGTATCGACGTCATTCGGAAGCGTCCAGGAACGAACAAATGACCTGAATTCATAATTCTACACTTCAGAATTATCAATGTAAGCACATAGACAATGATGAAATCAACAAACCTTGTCATATAACTGGTATCGTTTCTACATTCCTGCTTACCTTCGACCGTAAGCATTCTACCGTCCAGATTCACCTTTAGTTCTTCTGGCTTGAATTGCGACACATCGATGGAGACGGCAAATTTTTTATCGTCGTTTACTACCTAAAGACGCCGTCGTGTAACAAATGACTAGAAAAGGGAGTAAGTATGGTTACAGATCTCAAGGCAGACTATTAAACTGTTTGGACGTCTCTTAAATACTGTTTGGATAAAATGTGAAAATGTGTCTTCGGATAACAGTAATAAAGCATTAATAATAATAGTATTACCCGATAATATTTAGAAGTTAAAGGCCACTGTGGCGCAGTGGTTGGAGGCGCCTTGCAGCACACACGTGAAATCGATCTCACACCCATTGCACCCCAAAAATTTCATCCCTCCGGGGTTGGAAAATTGGTACCAGATTTTTCTGGGAGGATAGCAGCATTGGTTCGATATATCGGTAGGCCACGTCAAGTCATCGTAAAGGCTAGATGTGCATTTAATCACCTCTAAATGATACTTAGTGAAGTGGAATGAATGGCGCATCGCTAAAGGATTGGTCGACGCCGAGAGCTTTATCCTTTATCTTTTTATTTGGACGTTATCAAATTGTGTTATTGCATCTACTCTTTATAATTACTTTATCAATTCCATTTCATTCAGCGAAAGCAAAAGTGGCGAGTTAAGATTTCCGCGATCAAATGCATTGATTCCAATGCATCAGCTTCGTGGCCGTAACTTTTGCTGAGAAAAACTCTTCTTACTGAATAGATAGCATGAAAAACAATGATGTAGCAGCCATTTCTGGACAAAATTTAGTTTCTACATGTTAAAATTTAGATAGTTATTGGAACAGGTTTCCTCGTTATCATGAGTCACTATTGTATGCCCAAAGCTTTATAGGTTTAAGGACCAAAGCACAAGCCCATGCCGATTGCTTGCTTATTGCATAGGTACTGTAGTACAGAAGAGTGTTTCGCATAAATTTGCTAGTAAAATGTGTCTCCCAGGTAGATTTGAAGCAATACACATGGAGCTGAATGCACACTATGCGGGTGAAGGACTAGGCTTGATCCAGTAACCTACTCGCGAGTGCGGTGACAGCATTTCGTTGAATGTATTTCCATCCTATTGTTGCTATAGATAGAGAACAACAGAGCTCAAAAGTATCCTTCGAGAATTGGTGATTTTTTAGGAAAGGAAAAGGATTCTATGGCAAAACATATCTCACATAGACGCATCGGAGGCGAAGGATCAGTTATCGCATTCGGTATGTCGGTCAATCTATCATCGGCTGCTGGTATGCTTCAACGAATACATGGCTTGTTTGCTATTTGTATTTGGGCACAACACTCTTTCAACCTCATCCATACGTTCGACGCACAAGTTCGCCCTCTCCCAATCTCAGTCACATTAACCTCTTAGTGCTACTCCGGTCACTTCACATCATTTGCTTTTCGCTATGGTCACAATTTACCAACATCCTCTCCATTCTTACCTGATGAGCTTCGTTGGCAATTTTTAACATTGAATCATCTGCATCCTTCCAAAGTTGTGAGAATTGGCCAACATGCATGGCCATTGCTCTCATGTACTCATCCATCATACGCTCCATCGTCCTTGACATATGCCAAAACGACATTTTTGGTGCTCCAGCTATTTTTAGTCACTGAAATAAAAGGCGTTCAAAGTTTTCTATAATGGATAACCATACTTCGATCGTGAATTCAAACTATTTGAAGGTTTTAGTCAAAGCAATGCTTTCATTGCTAATTGCTTAACCGCTAAGTCTCAGGTTTCCTTAGAACTTGGAGAAAATATTCTTGTTTAATTCTGCAACGACCATCGGGTAATGGATGAGGGAGAGTATCTTACGAGAAAAAAAAACACTAAGAGTAATAATATTGGGTCAGGAAGTTCTTAGCTAACATAAAATCCACATCCCATTCGTAAAATTGCTGGCTTATACAACAACTTGGTTGTGTCAAATAAGTGCTACTATCCTTCAAGACAAGTATAACACCAATTCGCAGATCCCGGAGTGATTGGGGAACCTAGGAGGCGGTTACATTGCTAGCACCCATTAGCAAACTATGGCAGAAATTCTCTTAATAACTGGAAAGACCAACTTTCTGTAAACCTCGGCATAGAGAGGCATAGTTTATAAGATCATATAAATAGACATATTTATTTATATGATCTTATAAACTGGTCTTCTTAAGCTGATGCGAGGTGGGTACAGGTCTTCGTTGTCGTTGTCGTTGCTGTTTATGTTGTTGATCGATGGAGGACGTTTTGGCGACTTCACCTTCCTCAGGGTCTGGCAGTATTTTATATTAGAATATTTTTATTATTCGGTAGAAAAAAGATTGAAATCTTAACCCTTTTTATTTGCTGCCTTTTTCTTTATAATGGCAGGATATGCTGCGAAATATAACTCGTATATAATGCTGAGATATTTGCAAAACTCCGGACCGCAGGTGTATGCGGTGGGGAACGAACGCGCGCTATCGTGCTTACCGGGGAGTAGCACACTTCACCACCACACCAACCTGGTCCTTCGTTTTGCCTGTCTCCCAGCTAGCCCTATTGATTTCGCAGCATACCCTGCCATTAAAAAGAAAAAGGCAGTAAATAAAAAGGGTTAAGATTGTGATTATAACTAAATCTCAGCTTAACTGGGTTCAATGCCGATTTGGGCTCCCCAGACCAACCCCGTTGACGGGTGATTGCTGATGGCAAAAGATCAATAGAACTAGCTGAGAGACAGGCGAAACGAAGGACCCGGATGGTGTGGTGGTGAAGTGCGCTACTCTCCGGAAAGTACAATAGCGCGCGTTCGTTCCCCACCGCATACACATGCGGTCCGGAGTTTTGCAAATATCTCAGCATTATATAAAAGATTAAAGTATTGATGATGGTCAAAATTTTTAAATATTAGTGATAAAGGTGGAAAATTTGTAGTTATTCTTAATCAGTTGGATATTAGAATAATAGAGGAGCACCTCAATTTTGTTACTCTCTATCGAACATCCTCTGAAAAGGAATACAGAAAGCAATACCGAAAATTAAATCAAGAATAGGTCAAGACGGCAAAGGCCGCGGGTTTAGATCCTTCAGTTATTTCTCGAATTAAAAACGCATATCCAATTTGCTCTGTCCTCTACTTGCTTATTAAAACACATAAGCCTACTTCAACTGATGATATTACATCAACGAACCCATTATCATTTAAAGTTAGACTTGTCAACAGTTGTATAGGCGGGCCAACGGATAGAATAACGTGGTTCCTAAACCTTATCCTAACCCAGCTGCTAAAATTCATTCCAACCCATCTACCTAACACCAAAATATTTTTAGACCACCTACGGTGCGCGCAACCAAACAGCACGCATGTAATGGAGTCATTTGATGTTACGTCACTTTATACCAACGTGTTGAATGACACCGCAATGTAAGCCATTCTCGAGTTGCTCGTAGAGCATTAAAAGAAAATAAAAATGCACGGCTTGTCGATTGCGCAACTAATGACCCTCTTAAAACAGTGTCTTAGTTGTTCAATCTTTAGGTGGTCTAAAAAATATTTTGCACCAGTTAGAGGGTTGGCCATGGAACAACGTTTAGCGCCGAGCCTTGCCGTCGCTTTCATGTCTAAGGTGGAAGCTCCAGTTCTCAATCGCAAACCCTTACTCTCGTTATGTAGAGACTACTTCATCGTCTGTTCCACAAAGAGCAGATGGATAAGTACTTTGAATAGCTAAATCGACAGTTAGAGTATAAAAAATTTACACGAGAAAAACCAACCGAAAACTGGCTTCCATTCTTAAACATCCAAATAAAGCTCTCAGTAAGTGGTTATATAACGAAATGGTATCGCAAGCCAAGTAGTCCTCTCCTCTCATCCTTCACACATGAAAAAAGCACTTATCAAAAATATGTATCGTGCGGCTAAAAATGTGTGTACAGCAGAAGAGGAAAGGAAGGAATCGCAAAACCTGGCACGAAAAGTAGCCATTTCCAATGACTACGAAGTAGAAGCAACTCGGGTTAGAGGAAAACGTAGGGTGGTTTTCCAAAAGAATATTTCGGACGTAAGTAAGATCCCATTTAAGCTACCCTTCATATCAAATAAAGTAAGTCACGCCATTAAAAGGCGCTTTAAAAAAATCGTCTTGAAAATTATGTAACGATTATTGACATCCCATCCAATACCCTATGCCGTCAGTTGGTTCGCAGCCGTCTCCATGATCGTTTGTGCAGCTCAGAAAACTTTATGATCTGTCTTAATGGGAGCACATGTAACGCATGCGGTGAGGAATATGTTGGGGAAACGGATAGACCACTTGGTGTCCGCATAAAAGAACATCTAGATGGGATAGTTAAAACCCGTCTAAACACTCCTCTAGGCGCGCATAGGGCACAAAAGCACAACGGCGATGATTTTGAAGTGACTGTGCGAATCCTAGCGCAGGAATAAAAAAAAACGTGCAAAACTCCTGAGGCGTTTTGGATAAATTTCAGAAATCCAAAGATGAACCAGAAAGACGAATGCCTCACTATCACACGTGACCTGGCGACTAATTTCAAAATGATATTTTGACCCCAGGGTGTGTCTTGCTTGCGACCCCACATAAACAACGCTTGGGCCAGTTCCACACGTAACATCACGATGAGTGGCCTTTCTGTTCAATATGGCATCTATTTAAAAGTTTAATCTTTATCAATACTTTAACCTTTTTTGACTAAATAGTAAAAATATTCTAATATAAAATACGTCCAGGCTCTGAGAAAGGCGAAGTCGCCGAAACGTCAGCCGTCGACCAACAACATCAACAGCAGCGACAACGACAACGAAGACCTATACTAACGTCGCACGAGCTAAAGAAGATTAGTTTGTAAGATCTATCCTTTCTACCACATATTTATTCGTATGAATAAATATGTGGTAGAAAGGATAGAACTTTCGTCAACCTTACTGGGAAGAACTTTTAAAGAAATAGGAACCGACCTCCTATGAAGGTGTAGGCAATCGCGGTGCACGAAGCAAAATGGATGCGAACATAGAAATGGTTTGGCATTTATATACGCATTCATTATTCTGATAAGGGAATCTATGCAGTCTTCAGTAAATATTTGAATTCATAGCTAGACATGTGATTATCAGGGTATCACATGATAACTGAAAGTTGCTATCGATAGAACGAACCGAGGATTAGTTCCTATGACCGACTTTTATTTAATGTTCATTCCACTAATATCCTACCATGAAAAAAAATGAAAGACAGGAAATAAGAAGTTAATCACTGCGATTTAGATTGCAGCCTCTACTTAACTGAGTTCACTGCTAATTTGTACTCCTCAGATCATTGCAGCTCACGAGTGATTGCCAAAAGCAATGACGAAGCAAAACATTGACTGTAAGAAAAGTAAGGCTAGTGCCTCGGTGGTAGACTGGATAACAGGCGAGCCCTCGAAATGTGTCACCGCGGGTTCGAAGCGCAGCAGAGGCTCTGAGTTTCACTCACATCTCAACATCATTGTGGTTGTATTTTACATAATGCCCTGCCATAAAAGAATCATAGGCAATAAATAAAGGTTAAAGAGGACGGAAAGATTTTGGTAACAATGGGAACTGCAACCAATAAGAATGTACCTGCAATCCTTTATGATTTGTTTTTTTGCACATCAAGATTAGGTTGTACTACATTGGTGGTCGTAGACGGAAGATGTCACCCATTAAACTCCATGAGGAAAATATTCGACGAAACTTACGAAACAGGTGCTTTTTGATCGCCTTCAAGTTAGTTTTAACTTAGGAAAGGCGTGAATAACTTTAGAAACAAAATAAATAACCACTTATATCTTTCCTTAAAAGTTTATGGGAGAGTACGTCTCGATACAAGCCACTGTCTTAACAGCACGTAGTCTAGTACAACCCCGAGCCACTAAAACGGAAGCCGGAATAAGTTTTCTATTCGATTCATCACATCGTAGCTACCGGCTTTCAGTGGATATCACTGTTACATGAAAACGCATCACGGTAGGTGGACTATTTTTCATTGCAGCAGTTGTTACCCGAGGTAGGACATTGGGATTTGCAAAGATGTCGATCGACATAGACGTTAGAACACGCTATGGACTCCAAGAAGCGACATCCCGAAATCATCGCATCCTCAGTCAGCTGCGGAAAAATTCTACATAATTGACGAGAAACGTTGGTGATGTGTTCTTTCCATAAGAACTCGAGCTCGTATGTTAGCCCGAAGTCTTATGAGCTGCAAATAATTGTCAACTGAGAAACCTTCATTATTGTCATATTCTTCCATCTACGGAATGGGTTATATCACAGTTATAGATGTGGATGGTAAGCAATTTTCATATCACATAAACTCCGAAACGACCTTTAGGTAAGGAATAGCGGTCCCTTGCAATTTCCGTTGTACAAATGTTGTAGAAAAAAAATGTGATACTTGCAAGACTCCCGACCACAGGTGTCTGCGGTGGAGAACGAACGTGCTATTGTCCTGTCCGGGGGTTACGCGTTTACCACCACACCATACGGGTCCTTCGTTTCGCCTGTCTCTCAGCTAGTTCTATCGATCTTCTGCCATTAGCAATCACCCGTCA